TCCAGGGCACAACTCTCTCTGCCACCCTCAGCATGAGCTGCATCAGGAGTGTCTCCTGCAAGCCACGGCTCCAACAAGTTCCCTCATCTCAGCCAGCCAACACATGACAGAGAGAAACTTCTTCTGCCAACATCTTCAACACCTGCCAATTCTATGATTCCTCTCTGATTAATTTTCCAAGACAGCACAGCTATGAGCCCACTTCCTACCAAGTTTCTTTTCAGAGAAGAGAGCAAGCTACACAGCGGGACGTGGTGGGTGAGCACAGAGCACCTCAGTCAGCATCACTGTTCCAATTTACCCGTGCACACAGTAGGCACGATGAGTGAAGGGGATCCTTTCTACATTTAATTTAACAGACGTCAGAAACAGTAAATTGCTGAGGAAATTACGACACAAGGAACATACTCCATTTTGACAAAACAAATGTGCATAGTTTCCTTCCTCCAAAAAGCTTCCACAAGGATGCTTTAAGACTCGAGTTAGTTGTATTACACAAAAAAATGTGTGAAAACACTCCCAGACTGGTCAAATCCTGATCTCACCAAACAGCCAATTCTTATTTATTTCCATAGAATTAGAACAGTTCTCCTTTTCTTTGCATGCACTGCACACAGATATATACTCATGAACACAAAGACAAATATTACCAAATCAAAACATCCAAATTTAGGAAATGTGAATTCCAGCTCACTGTGAATTGCCTCAGTTCAATCTCTTTCCTTGGCATGCACAAGATTTTTTTTTTGTTATCTCCCCTCTCCCCAGTTCATCCAATTCACAAGTTAACATTATACAAGGAAGATCTCAGGAGCTTGTCTGAAGAACCTTTTATATATTTGTTATTTCTCAGCTGAGACAATTTGCAATGAATGAACAAGAGGGAGAATGCTCTGATATTAAAAGAAAGATATTAAATAGAAAGATATAAGAAGTCCTACAAACTGTCAAACTGGTCACAAGAAAACCAGCTTTGAGCCAACATTTGCTGTATCTTTTTCTGACCCAGCATGAAATTTGCAGAAAGTTATTTTCTGCAAGCTAAATACTGTGAGAAAAGTCAAAGCAGTAGCTGCATTACAATAAAAATAGTATCTTACACAGAGTTAAGGTAATACATGTACAAAGAGTACATTAATTACTAAAAGCACCAGCCAGACTTAAAGGCTATTTCTTCTCATTTTAGACTGCTTGACTTTATAACCCTAAAGTCCTTACTATGGTGAAGAGGATTTTTACATCTGTAAAACATACACAGAAGTCTCAAAACAGATAACAAATGTAATTCCACCACTGAAGACTGAACTTTGGGAAAAGATGGAGAATAAGAGTGAAAATAAGTTGTAATGACTTTTAGATGAAAAAGTGGCTACGGATCAGAACAAACAAGATGAATCTGATGAAACAAAATATTAGTTAGCAAATTGATGAGATCAAAAACCTGAGTAGGAGCAGCAGATGTTTTCCAACCATCTGATTGCACATGGGAGAGAAGATAATAAATAAATAAATAAATAAGTCATTCTAGTCTAAACTTGGAAAAATTCAGGTTGAGGATCATTTTTAGGAAAGATATCAAATTCTAGAAACCATATTGACTTTCAGAGAAAAATACACAGCTCCAAAATATGAGCCAGAATAACAGGGTTTTTTTTAAACTTGCAAATCACACAAACTATACAGAGGTTCATTTTTTTTCATCCAAGTCAATTTGTTTATGGGAGCAGAAGCATTAGACAGAGAAGTTGACAGATGTAATGAATGACTTGGCAGAATGCCAGTAGAGGCCAAAATTGAAGAGGCATAATTGAAATACATCCACCATGGAAGCAATAATTCAGGAGCATTCCTAAAACAGTACATTCTTGTAATTTTACAGAAAGATATGTAAACAGGATAGCATTCATTAAGAATGTAATTTCTCTTGGGCAAAAGCCATATCTTAAATTATATCCTAAAATTCTCACATTTTTGCATACCATAAAATTGAGAAAGTTCTTTCACTGCATGCATGATCAAAGAGAGGAAAATATATGCTGTATCATCATCAAGGAACAGAATGATTTACAGGGTAAGAAATTTAAGTAATTTAGAATTCACTCAGACATCATTCAAAACAAAGAAGGTCTTTGTAGAGTATTGCTAGGTTTTTTTTCCTCACCCTTGGAGCCAATAGCTCACTTATTAAAAACAGATTTCTTGTTTGAAAAAGTGAAATAAGCACATCTACGTGGATGACCTGGTTTCATGAGGTGATAAGAAATTTAACAGTTTTCCTATACCAGCTCAGCAGAAAACCTGTGAAATTGCTTACAAGACACACTCATCATTTACTTTTTTCCTCTATACTAATAAAAAGAGCAAAATAATGATTCACCATAAGCATTCTCAAATCTGATCCATGATGAACATGAAATACTTAGATGCAAGCAATGGATTTAAACCAGTTAATTTTCTCACTATGGACAAAAAAATATATTGGCTGTACCTAATACAGTTTGAAGATGTAATTCTTGAACCATATTAATGTTGACCTTCAGGAATTGCATTTATTTTTATATATTAAAGAACTGATGACCTTATAAGAAGCGTGACTTTTATGATGACATAGCTGTTTCAGTTCTTAGTGCTTAATTACCTTAACACATAGTACCACTGAATTGCTAAAATACTACTCAAACTATCCCCAAACATTTCAACAGCTGACTGACTTAAATTCCACCAATAGATTGCTAAACAAAGAAATTGACATTCAGTCTGATATTGCTAATTTTTAGTGAATCGGGTACAAGTTGTTTTATGGAATAAACATCTAGATTTGATACAGAGATACTTTTTTTTCTTCTTCTTTTTATCACTGCTTACCAGCCTAGATCACTTTGCCTGCTGTTCAGATGCACTTTGTTTAGTCAGTTATATGAAAAGGGCAACCAGTCTTATCCTATTTGGAAAACAACCACCGAAACAATAAAACCCTTTGTATTTCAACCTCCTTAATTTACCACAAGTAATTCCTCTCTGTCATCCATGTACTATCATTGCCAAATCCCAAGTTACCTCTAGCCATAAGGGAACTGAGAAGCTGAAGCAGTGCAGGAGGTGCCTATGGTTTGACTCACACTGCCAGGCTGCTCTCCAGACCCGCACTCCTAATTATTCTGAACAGCATTCCATGGGAATATACAGGTCTCTGTCAGTCAACAGAACATGATCAAGTCGTCAACAGACCAAAAGAGCTTTTGCCTGGCAATCCAAAAGCATTATGCCTCCAAAACGAACTATGCAGATGACAAATAAAAGAAGAGCTATCCTCCTGGGGCGTCTGATAACCTGTGAGCAAAAGAGGTCAGCAGCAACACGTCACTTCCCCTGTATCAGTCCCAAGGAGAGAGAGAAGAAAAGAATTAATTTTTTTCCCCACAGCAACAACCAAAGGCACTGACACAGAGACTGCTAGTTTTTCTGGACTTAGGAATCTTGGAAGTGCATTGCATGACTACATTCTGTATAGCCAGAAAATAATAATTAAAAAAAAAAAAAAAAAACACCTCCCCAGGCAGTTCTATTTCAGCAATCTTAAGCCAACT